CCGAAACGTCAGGCGAATAAAGCCATTGTTCCAGCGATCGCTTCTTCTTCTGATCAACTAGTTCCTGGGACTCGCATTTTCGCTTGTATCGGCAAAGTCCTGATTGCCAACCATGGTGTTATATAATACTCTTAGTGTGCATGCCGTGTTCTTATCTTATGTTGGTGACAACGTATCTTCTAATCACCTCATTTTGGCAGAACCCAGTTAAACGAAATCAGCTTAAATTTACATTAAGGTGGGCATGCTATATTGCCTGAAAACTTGCCGACGCCACATTGTTTCCCTTAATGCCCCGTTATTTCTGTTTCCACCTAGGACCCGGTCCGTCATCATGATTACTTATCCCAGTGCTTTTGTGCTGATTTGGTGTAACTCAACTTAGTTATGTATACCAGCAATTGTAATTTACTTTAAATATTGAAATTTTATCCAAAAGATTTGTGAAATAATCAGGCGACAATGCGGGCTTTCCTAAGCATTTACTGCATTCTCAGCGGCTCATTAAGGTGGCTTAATTTAGTCTCTCCCAAAGGTAAATATATCTGTCGAGAAACATCCTCGTGCCATTGACCAATCAAAAGCCTTGCATTCTTCTGGGTTTGCAACCGCACTGAAATATGCAAACCACCGAATTCTACCTAGTCCCAGGGACTGTAACTAGCGCTAAACTTGGGATAAAAGCAGTCTCAATGGGTCTGTCCACCCGGGCTAGACTGAAGACGCTGCGCCCGTACTGCTTAAGGAAGGACGCGGATATTGCCTTACGCAGACTTCGACCAACCACTGTCTGCTTAAGACTGCCTAGACTCCTGTATCGCACGGCATCTTACCGTCCAGATGCAGGAAGAGAGGCTGAGCGAGGGGAGTACGAACTGAGACGTCGGGGTGGCATTCGCCTTCACCTCTTTTGTCCGAATTTCAAGTCGCGTGGGCAGATTGAGCTGCGGTCTTTATTGATCTTTCTAGGCACGCGCTCCATCACCTGTCCGCGTGTCTGTCTCTCCTCCCCGGGCGGGCGCACACCTGCTCGCCCGTCGGTCCGTAACACGCTCCCTCGGGCTCGGCGCCGTCGCCGCATCGGCCTTCGAGGCAGCCAATCAACCCCGCGACTGACGGTTTGCACACGGTAGTGAAGAGACAAGACTTGGCGTAGACACTGCTGCTGCTGCCGCATCTGTTGCAGTGAGGATAGGAAAGACGTTCCCTCGTGGGTGAGACCGACACGAAATTGCAGTTTCTAGGGCCAAATGAACATCTTATCCAACCTCCGAGGCCTGACTATCCAATCTCTACTCATTCTACTTCCATGCTGCCTAGAACCTTACAGAGGTGTAGAGGCCACCAACGGGTTTGGGATATACCCCCTGGAGATACAACCACAGGACCCGAAAGCAAATTTGAATCCCAGTGCAACGGACAGGCGAGATGAGCCTCCTGGTTCATACTATGATGGAGGCGTTGGAAAGCTGCCCTTTAAGTCGCCCACGTCAACTACACTGCGAGATCGTCTTGTCGGGATGCTATTTTCTAACTACAAGACACACGAAAGACCCACGGAACTGCTTGACGTGGCCACGGTTGTTGAGGTAAACATGAAAGTGTTAGCTATATTCTCCGTGGACGTTCGTACAATGGATTATTACATAGATGCACTACTTCGTCAGACGTGGACTGATCCTCGCTTGGCCTGGGACACCTCAAAGGAATTCGAGAACTTTACGCAAGCTCTTGTTTCACCGACGCTGAAGGAGAGCCTCTGGTTGCCCGATCTCTTCTTCCGCAACGGTAAAGACGGGTATCTGCATAAAATGACACTTCCCAACTACTTACTACGCGTCTACCCCAATGGAAACGTTCTTTACAGCCAAAAGATCACGATGAGGTTCTCCTGTCAAATGGACCTTCAGACCTTCCCCATGGATACGCAACACTGTCACATGAACATTGGCAGCTATGGCTACACACTGAATGAGCTGAAATTCACCTGGCGTCCAGAAAATCCCGTTGAACTGCCAGACAAACTGCAGATTTCCGAGTTCAACACACCCTCAAAGTTCACTACAATTGACTGTACTGCCATGTCCTCCACGTCGACCGGCAATTACACCTGTTTAATGGCAAAGTTCGCGCTGAAACGTCAACTGGGATCCTATCTGGTGACAACCTACATCCCCAACATCCTCATCATCATGGTCTCCTGGCTAAGCTTTTACGTCAGCGTGGACGCTGCGCCAGCTAGGGTACCGCTGGGTCTTCTCAGCCTTCTAGGTCTTTTGACACAGGCCTCTTCTATGACCGCAAATTTGCCCCGCGTCTCCTACATTAAGGCCATCGACCTCTGGCTCATCTTCTCCATCATCTTTGTCATCAGCGTCCTCGTAGAGTACGCCATTGCCATCACGTTGCTGCGACGCAAACGGCGAGAAAACTGGCGCAACGACGTGGAGCACATCGTGAAGGAGGAGTTGGCTCGCTGGTGCGCTGCCTGTCAGCAGACTCAGTTAGCAAACCTGCAGTTCAGCACAGGTGGACTGGGACACGAGTTCAGTCAACAGTTTGCCTTCTTCAATGACCTTGACACATTTCTGACCCGCACTGTCATTGAGGAGTCACAGAAGAAGTCTCGAAAGAACAAGATTCCTGAGGCGACGGAGTCTGAGATAGACGCCTACAGCCGGTTTCTCTTTCCAACCTGTTACATCATGTACAATGTCTTCTACTGGCTATATTATCTGGTGATCGTAAAACAGGGCGAGGAAACGGACACCTGAGTGCGCAAGTAGGCTCATGACGGACTCCGTTTCTGGATCCAAAATGGACAGAGGTTGCTGCTGTTTGACAAAAGCATGCGTAGTTTCTTGTTTGAAAAACGTGTACAGATAGAAAAAGAACAGTGTTTGAGAGTCTATACTTCAGTTACGTTTCCTGTGTTTCGCCACTAAAATGTCGTTTATGGTATGTCAGTATGGTTGGTTTCCAATCGTGGAGTTGAGTCCGCAGATACTATTTTGGATTTTTAAGTAGTCCAGTGCTTAATAGTTCAGGGGCCTTGATGTCTGTTTAGAAACGGAGAACAACCCTGTTTAGAGATTGTGCTGCGTGGATTTTTATTTTGTAATTTAATAACTTTGATGGGGCAAGAGTGCGTATTCGCTTGACCCAATAAGGCTGAGTCAAAACTAGCGGAATGCAAATGGCTTATTAATAGTAAGTGTAAAGCTACTTTGCACTTATTTTGACGTTCATGAATTAGAAGGACGCCTACCTTGCAGTGTCATTGTGCTTAGAAATAATTTATGGCAAACATTCTTATCTGGGCACTACTACTTGAACCAGTGCGATAGAACCACCGTAAATCATAAATTCGTATTTATTCCTAGAACACCTCCTACACGACTGAGATAGAAGGAGTGAAACATAACGATACTTTGACCCACAAATCTAAATCTCTTTGACAGAATCTGCCGATGCACAATTTCAACGGATTAATATTTATGGAACAACATGATTTGCAGGTTCTTTCGTAACTGAGTCCGAGCATTATCAAGTGGCAGTGTCAGGGCACGGGAAAACGGAACCCCGTCTTAAAAGGAGATCTTGCGCGTAATTCAATGATTACGATCAGGAGAACAAGGGTTAGTGTTGCGATTAGATTTAGGATGGTGACCACTTAGTTAGCATACCGAGGCTGGTACTGGAATCTTGTGCAAATTCGGCCTTAGTACATGGACCTATATTCTCGTGTGTGACTAAGATATTGTCCGCGACAACAGTGCCATCAGTTCCAGGTCGGTTAGCATTGTAGTGGACCTCGCAGTGCCTGACATACAGGTCCAATTATGACCGGACAAAGGCATTGTGAAAAGATAGGATTCCTGTCGACCGTTGTATCTACCTACCAATAAAACGAAGCCCTTAATTATTCCTTACCAACAGCTATGCACTTCGGCGTAATGCATAGATATGCGACATTGTGATAACATGCTTCTGGACTGGTGGTTTCATAATATGAATCCTATTGGGCTGCTAAATTTGACTGAGCACTAGGCACATTCGACTTGGCAGAAAGAACGAACTGCTACTCTCGGTCAAACTGAACATTATCTTCATAATATGGTGACGTGTATAATGTCAGACGGAGTACGCCCACACAACGGGTCAGCCACGATGTGCTATATTCGCCCATACCGTACATTCTGAGTGAAAGTTAAGGCATGCAATAATCTCGACCAGTAAGGACATGGGTGTCGGTTCACGAAGTCTTTTAAGAACGCGTTTTCCAGAAACTGCACATTAAAACTGATGAGTTGCACTGTAATGCCTTCGTTGCGTGACGCGAAGAGGACTGATGCTGTGTTTAAAGTCCGCTTACGGGTTTGCATGTGATATATCGTTGTCATTGGTACGTTCAGGAGTTCTAACGAGTGCTGAGCCTGTTAAAACACAGGTGTTCAGAGATAATGATTGGTCAGAATCGTAAGAACTACAAAATTAAATGGCAATCAGCTGTTTTCACATCTTTCAACTTTAAATGACATATCGCAAACTGCAGAACTAGCACCACTATAACGACTCCCGAAACATTCCATATTATTTTGACAATTGCATTGTTTACGTAATAGCACGATAATTGTAGTACGTAATGCTCCTAATTGCATAATTATCTTCCATATACTCCAACTTCCTAAGTACGTCCAGAAGAAGAAGACTCACCTGAGTACCTCTGAAATTCCGTCCCGCATTGGGGGAGGGGAGAGGTGATAGTTCCGTAAATTTGTCGAATTTATAAGCACCATCATTGAACTGACGCCTCACAATTATTTACTTCAAATGACTTAACCGTGGCGCGGCCGCAAACTCTCAGTTTCCGGTTAATCGTTTTCTCAGACAAGCTTTAGTTCACATATGTAACACATCACTCCGAAGTTCGACATTTACGGTAGCATTGTGTGCAAAAATACTCCTCGCATCACAACCAAAACTCGTGTCTTCGGATGATACGTATGATCGGTTCTTTCTTAAGCCTATTTGAGGGCAGACGTCCATCATCGACAGACGCACATTAGGCTTATATAGCTACATGATTACGGCTAAATGTGCAGACTAGTGTAGGACAAGAAAAAACGGACAATAACAAGCATATAAATTCCTACTTTGTAAGTAGTTATTTTGCGATAAGTATATGAGAACGTAATTGATTACCTGTTAGTACAGTCAGTGTGGCTTTAAGGCTGTGTGTATGGTATGGCACGCTTCAGAAAGCCATGGTCCTGACAGCCTTGTTCTTTGTCACCAGATTCCTTGCCGGCGAGGGTGTCTGCGCGCCCGTTGGGAAGATAAGCCCAGTAGTTTGTGTCCTCCTCCTCCTCCTCCTCCTCCTCCTCCTCTTCCTTCTTCTTCTTTTTCTTCTCCTCCTCTTCCTCCTCTTCTATTGCCGAACTGGCTTCGAAGGCTGCCAACTGACAGATAACTTGGACCTCGCAGTCGGCCCAGTATGAGTTTGCGTGGAGCGACAGACTGGCGGTATGAAAGTCAGGCAGAAATGGGGATGGGAATGGAGAGTGAGGTCGATGACTCAGGACACCTATCTCCCTATAAACAATCTGATGCGCTCGAAGCCATCACGAAGGTATCACCGCCAGTACATGCACTTCAGGGGGAAGCAGGGCACTCTTAGTCTCGCCGCTGGAGGTACTTGCCAGCAGCATACAGTGTAAGTGCAGTTTCCCGCTAAATCTGCAACACAAAATGCAATGGACAGTGATGAGAGGACAGGACCGAAACCCACAACAGAGACCGGGACTTCAGGAAGACGGATCAAAGTCCACAAATAGAAGATAATGCTTCGAGCTAATGGATTGCATCGGAAAATTCGTCAGGCAATCCAGTGACTTGTGTCCTCCTCTCCCTTTGCCGAACTGGCTTGGAAGGTTGTCAACTAAAGGGATAGCTTTTACGTCCTCGCAGTCGGCCCAGGAGATTTTTAAGTTTGGCCTGGACGACTGGTGGTTTGAGAGTCAAGCTACAACGGCTTCTTCATAATGTGGTACGCCTAGGTGCGTGCTCATTCGGCGCGTCATCCACCAACGCCCACCCCGTGTCCGGTCTTTCTGATCATATCTTGACATCAGGCTGACAACGGGGAGGAGGAGAGAGGACGGTAGATGCAGCACTTTTTAAGCTCATACTCTGCACGTAAAGTCACCGTGCCTTCTGTCAGCCTGCCGTAGAGCACGCGGAGGATATCGGCGGTCATAACGGTAAAACCACCATCAACGATTGTTGAGAAAACAAATCCATATCAGCATATCAATACACGTGTGGAAAAACCCAAAAAAATAATACATGAAATCTGAAAAGGAAAATAAATATGGTAGTGACACACAATTCAACACGGAGACAGTAATGCTATTCGTCAATTTCAGCTGACCGATTACTTCGGAAATGCAAACATTCAACAAAAATCCGAACCGAAAAGTGTGTGCTCTAATTATGCCAGGTGAATATAAAGATGACCGCATTAAACTACGCTTAATATATTCGCTTCACTCACACGCCGAGAACAAGCTGGGAACAAAATGACATTCGGATCACACAAAAGTGCATAATCATCGCATCAGAGATCGCCCAGGGTTAAAAGAAGTGAATTCACAGTGAAAATATCAAAATGGGGTAGAAATCTGAATAAAAGACCAATCAACATGGAATGTGGCATGTTATTGGGTCGCTGTAACACGCAGAAGAAGAAATAGCCGAGCAAAAGTCGAGGAGAGCTTGCGAAAGGTACATAATGGGATGACAGACATACGTTTAACAAATACTCGAAAACATAAGCAATGCAGTAATTGGTGGGTAGAAAAAGGAAGACAACTGGGATTTGTGGGAGAGGAATAAGGTCACAGGCATTGAAGGAAACGTAAAGATTTGCGAAATTTGTACAGCGAGGATTTTAAATATAATACTATTGGAGATTGGAAGTTGGACAGTCACGCCATCCAGTTATGACAGTATTTTTTCGATAAAATATGAGTCATCAGCTTCCGAGGTACAATGGTTGACAACTTAATTGTTCCCTTATAAGAAGTTGGTGGGAAAAGTATTGGACAGCCTTTGTTCGAACGAGATAGTGTGGACGTTACTCAGTGGATAGAGACAGCAACCGTTATCACCAGCCATTCAGGTTGCTTGTCCGGCCACGAATTGTGTGTCCGCATCGGAGCTTTGTACGACTGCATCCAATCGAGGAAGACGAAAAATACGATCGGTATCATGGCATCCACAGGCCGAAGGCCGAATCACACGCGCACGCGAAGTGTTTTAAGAGGCGTGGTAGGTAGGAGGCCGACTGTCGGGAGACGACCGACATCCCAACTCAGTCCACGCAGTTGTGTGGAGTGGCGGGTTGGTGGGCTGAGAGCCAGGCTAAAACGCCTCCTTCACGAGCGATTTGTGACACTCTCATGTATGTGAGTAAAGTGTGTGTACATTAAGGGTAGTGCCTCTCATCCGACGTCTCAGTCGAAGACATTTTAGTTACCTAACCTTGGATGGTGACGGCCCAGGCTATATGCAGGACCACGTGTCGCCCTCCTAGCCCAAACCGTCTGAAAGTGCGTGCTATGCCAGTATCAACAAACCATGGCCCTCGCAACCTGGTAGGCGCTGGCAGTTCCCTGACACCAGGTTACCGGCCCCCCCCCCCCCC